AAACAGTACTGTATGAAAATAAATAAAAGTAAAACAAAAATACTGGTATGCAAGGGAATAAAAAGTAGGGAAAGAACGAGTACAAAGATAAGAGACGAAAAATTAGAAGAAGTGGTTGATTTTAGGTATCTAGGAAATCAGATAAGTCAGGAAGGAAGTAATAAGGATATAAAGCAAAAGATAGAGCAGAGTCAAGAAAAGAGAAAAGAAAAGGTTAGAAGCGTTCGAAATGTGGTGTTACCGGCGAATAATGAGGATACCGTGGATAAAGAAGGTTAGAAATGAAGAGGTATTAGAAAGAATAGGAGAACAGAGGACTTAATAGAAGTCAGTAAGATGTAGGTGAGATAGGTTGACATGAACGTCTGGTCAGAGACACAGTAGAGGCAGAAACAAGAGCTAAGAGGAGTAGAAGTAGATCTAGATTAGGTTATTGTTCGCAAATAGATGTGGGATGTTCTAGTTTTAGAGAAATGCGAAGATTAACTCAGAATAGGAATGAGTAGAGGTGCGAGTCCAACAACTCTTGATGATGATGAAGTAATGCGTAATGGAAACCCTTCCCTGATCACTCCGTTACGTAATGCGTGTGTTGTAAAATTTATAGGATTCAATTGGTGTTATGTCATTTATGTACAATCCCTTTTGGCTTTTTATATTATTACGCGTTATTGGACATACACATTTAACACAAACCTAGTACAATTAGAAAAGGTTTTCTATACTGCTGTTTCGTGATGAGTTCCCAAAATTGTGATGTATTCTTTCTGTCATTGTTTATACTATCTCTTATCTCTTGCATTCTTGTTTCGATGAAATTTTCATCCGCCCGATTGCACGACAGCTTCACAATGCATTCCCTAGCCTTGTCCGGTTTGTTCTTCTTAGCCAAGTAATATGGAGTTTCCGGTAAAAACCAGCACATAACTGTAACAATAAAGGGCACTATGGCACAAGTTCCTGCCAACACGTGATATGACACGAAAGGGCCCACTGTGTAAATATACAATCCGCCCAAACTTCCTAACACAGTAAATAGGTTCGAAAGACGCCCTCGTATATCCTTTTCGGATATCTCCCCGATATAAATTGGAAGAGTCTGAAAACTGGAGACTATTTTGTAAAAAATATAAAAGATAATATAAAACTTACGGCACTGAGCTGACCACTGGCAATACCACCAATTAATCTGGCTATGTACAACGCCATAACCGATCTTGCAAAAAAAATTATCACCCATGACGCGAAAAGTGGTATCGCAGATGTTAAAAGGCTTACTCTTCTACCCAAGTTATTGTTAATCAATATAGCCAAGAAACAACCCACAATCGAGCCTATGTTTCGTATGGACACTATCCATGAAGATTCCAACTAGAGCAGGAATTATATTTTACAATTTTGAAAGTAGTACCGATGTTAAGGGAAATGTGTGTAATCCGTCATTGTATACAATTCCTAGGAAATCGCCCGGAAATGTGTGAAATAAATTATATTAGACACAATTCCTAGGAAATCTATACATTTCCTGAATAGCAATCGGAAATTCATTACATTCAAGCTGTCACCGGGTACGCGGCGATGACGGAGCGAGGCGAGGGTATCCGATCAGGCGATTTATTGTAATTTCCCTCAGTATACTAACGTGGTCTATTCATTTTATGGTAATAGTATGGCTGAGCTTGCATACTTCTCGAAGATATGACTCTAACAGAAAATACCACAAATGGCGCGGTAAACGCTATCTGTAGTACGATGCTACATTTTAGGAATACGTATGCTCCAACAAGGTCCACTTGTGTGGATATCTACTTGCTGAAACGAATCCTGGCGTAGCTAACCTCAACGTGATAGGCACGTTACCATAATCGAATGAAATAATTCGAAGTTAACATATCATTAAGTAAAATCCAATCCGTCATAAATCTACCTAACCAAACAATGACGTCACCAATGCATATGAATTTTTAGTATGTTGTAGAGGTGAATATGCTGATTATTGGGGTGCGGAAATGATAATGAAACATAGTTATCGAACAATATTTAACGGCTTATGACATAAAATAGGCAATAATACGGCAGGTTGCTTGGTTAGGTAGATTTATGACAGATTGGAGTTCATTCAATGCCCTTTCCCACCGGAGGTGGGCTAATATGTTAGAGTAATGTCCTCGAGAAGAATCCTTCATTATCATTTCCGTGCCTGTTTATAAAATGTATACATTTCCTAGAATATGTGTGTATTAAGAAGTCTTTGTAGCAATATTTTATATATTTCTTAAATAACCTCGGAATTGTATATATTTACTAGGAATTGTATACAATTCCTAGATTTCATTCATACAGTGCCGGCTTTAGGAGGGGAGGGAGGGCGACCAAAGGGCCAGGTACTACCAGCTCAACTTAACCACATAATTTGGATACCTATTTTTATCGATCTAAAGGAAAACTAGACTCAGCGTATTAACTTTTATAGACTTATCACGTAGGAGTGGGTAAGAGTATTCTATATCTAACAAACACGACCTGTCATTTTGTCGCTTGTCGTGTCTCTCACTAAATAATTTTTCTTTCTTTGCTTTTTACATACTTATAAGTTCACAAGCAAATAAAAAAAGTTTGTTAGAAAACTTGTACGTTATCAATTACTTACCTAGTGTAGTGTTGATTAACAACAATTTATTAGCATAAATAATTAAGAAAATTAACGTATCTGCTGTGTAATTAATATTAAATGATGGCGTAAAAATAGCCAGCGGTTTACCACAGATAAGGCACGCGTTTTTTAATAAAGAATTATTTTAGGATATTTGCAAGCAATTAAGTAAGGCTTGAAACTACTAGTTTAAAAAGGTAGTCATTTCCCACGTTCAGCATATTATTTATTATTCCGTATGTAGCATATAAATTAATTAATTAAAAACAGATATATTTTTATGAGCTATATATAATGATACACTAAAACATTAAATNAAACGTTTATAAATATTAAATTATCAAGTTGTTCAATTGAGAATTCAATTTAAAGTAAACAGATTATTGAAAATATGATCGTGATTGGTTCAGATTAAGACGCGTGTACAACTGGCGTTTTAAATATCTTGTGTTAATATAAGTATTTTTTATATAAGTATCAAATATATTTTAAATACATTTGAGTTTGTAGCGGCACACAAATAATCATCACAGAATATCAAGCAAATAGTTCACACGCATCAATCGAAGTGATTGATATGTTCTACGCTAGGAGCGCTACATCCTATTGTATCAACAGTTATCATTTCGACGCCAAATAAAAAAATTAATTAAAAAAAATTTGTTTTTTCGGTCTAAGAATATGATTCATAAAATTATGGTAGATTTAAGGATTATAGTAAAGGCATAATAGTATTTAGTAAAAGTGAGATAATTATAGTATGTAATTTTTCCAATATAACTTGTTTTTATTCTACTGGGATATAAAAAGGACCTCATTTATCGTCCTTTTAATATTATTTACCTACGTTTTGCGTGTCCAACCAGTCCTAGGACTGACGACCTTATGATGATGATGATGATGATGTCGATAGACAGAAGGAAATACAATTTCTCAAGGGCCCAAGCCCTCAGTTACCTAATTAGTCAATACCTACACCAATGTTATCAATTATTTGCGCGAAATATATTTTATTATGTATTTCTATTCACGGTATGTCAGTGAACATGCTATTTTTAAGCCCTCCAATATAATAATTTTTTAATATTTATCTTACCATCTAATAAAGCTAAAAATGGTTCAAGGTACTTAAAATTACTTACAATGGAATTGAAAAAAATGTTACAAGCCATATATTAAAAAAAAAGGCGACGTTGTTATCTTAGTTGCTGATACACACTTATGTATCCTAATGCAATTATTATATTATCATCAACATACATATAGTTGGGACGTTTAAAATTGGCATAGCCCGCAGTAAAACTCTCACATTTACTCTCTTCCTTCAACTAGAGCGGTTGCTGACAGAACGCCTTCTTTTACTGACAACAGGTGGAACATCGTAAACATAGAAAAGAGATGTCAGGTGAGAATTGCAGCGGACACTAAACCAGTTAATGTGTAACAGAAAGAGATACAGACAAGCAGAATTTGAGCACGTTACCAGCATCGGACTTTAAAGAAATTTCATCATTCTCAGAAATTTAGGAAAGCAAAGACGTTTGTTTAAAAATATAATTCCAACCAAGCTGTTATAAAGCCGATCCTGATCTTTTGCGTACCTAAGCAAGTTCAACTGCTGCACCAGTCACTTACTGCTATACTGTTATTTGTTTTTCACTTTGTCTGTATTACTCATGAGTGGAAATAAAAAAGAAGATACAGCATTAATACAGATAGGACAGTAGCGTACTAGAAAATAATGTAAAAACATGACTTATCAAAAAGAAAAAATTAACCTATTGCTTTTGTTTTATAGTTAGTTTTCACATTCACTATCGAATGAAATAATTC